GATCGACAGGGTAAACAGGTGGTTTGGAAACAGGCCTACACGAGTCCAGAGTTAAATATGTGACAAAGGTGGCATTTCAGAATAGTGGGGAAATATACTATATACAAACAGATTTGGAACAATTAGTCATGTAGGGGGGAAAAATCCAAATCTTTCCCTCACCCGATACCAACATAAAAAATTAGCATTAGCATAGGGCCTGTCGCATGTTACTCTGTAACCTTTGGGCTCTATTTTAATTCACTGTTAAATTTTGCCGTATTATTTTTACAAGAAATGGACATGCTCATTGTAGAAGCATAATAATATGGAGCTTTATAAGAAACATGCTAATAACTTCTCTCCTCCCCTCCCTCAACCTCAATCAATGAAGGAGATTAAGTTTAAATTAAATCCTTCTAGTCCAGGTTCAGCTTATATATAAGTTGGAATTTTTTCTAAAGAGAGAGCCACGCTCTTCATATTAAGATGCCGCCTACTCTTCTTCACTTACTAAGGATATACTTCTAGATCAATAAATATAACAGCAATACATTTCTAAAACATAGTCATAACAGTCTATAAAATATAGTGTAACAGAGTTGGCAATTTTTTTAAATGATGGGCACTCTAGTTGTCTTGAGTTTTCTGCTATTTCAAAACAATCCTACAATTGCTACAATCACTACTCCTGTGCGTAGGCTATTACATGGTGGTACTTTTATTTCTCTCGGAAGGACAAATAGTAAAGCATTTCTGGCACAAGAGTATAGAAATGTTCGCAAGAGCCAAGCATTTTCCCACGGTACGAGACTTCCTGTTTTCTTCCTCCTGAACGGCACAGAGGTTACTGAACATTTTGACTTCAACCATCGGATGGGGAGAAACTGGCGTCCCATCCTTTGACTGACCTACTAATATTTCTGAGCAATAGGAGGACACCTCTAATGTCATTATTAATCACTCGTATCACCTCTTCTATAATGTGTGTAGCTTTTGCCCTTGCATCGCCTGGGTTGGCTTATTAATCTCATTCACATTTTCAGGAACTCCTCTGATTAACAGAGAAGTTACCAGCTAGCCTCACACAAGCATGGCAAAAAAACTTCCACTTGGTTTCATGTTTGGTTGGTTATTATGTTAAAAATAAGTTTTAAAATGTGCACCGCAAAATTTGCTCTCACTTAGTTTGGAGCTTCAAAATGATCCTTGACGATGTTTCTTTTTATATGTAAAAGTATAGTCCAGATAACATTCATCTGATGGCCTGACCGCGGATCCTAAAGGTAAAGTCAAAATTATACCACAGCCACGTTTCAAAGAACCCATCATCTTCCAAAGGAATTGAAAAGTCCTCTTCATTATATATATTATGCTCTCATATTCACTTGGTTCTATTTACAAACTTTCATCTTCTCCAGAAATGTGTATCCTTCCACCAACACCTCGCTGTTTTGAGTAGAGTAGCCTTATCGGGAACTTCAATATCTGATACGGCAGATCTTTGTCTTATTTTTCAGAAGCTTCTTACAAGTATTACTGATACAACAATAAACTCTGCCGGCTACTTTCACTAGGGATCTGTGCTAAAGCATCTTCCATCTCACATGGAGTCATGGAGTCAAGCTTTTCTCTAACGTGTATATTACATTTCTTTATCTAGATATAAAAGGCACACAAAAGCACAGAGATTCTATAAAATATGCAAATCAGTGGAAAAAATCAACACTTTCCAGTTTCATCTAACATCAAAAACAATAACAAAAAGATCTCCATTGTTTGAAATCTCCATCGCAAACAAGGAAACCTTTTTAAAGCAGCGACTCCCCCTCCCCCTGCACTTACAGGCCGACCTCAGGCATTCTTCTACCAAGTACTGTGTTTGCCCAAAGGAAAACCAGCAAGAAACAGAGCCCAGCCCTCCCAGGCTGGTGACTGAGAGGCGAGCTTCCAGTGCAGAGAGACCAACGCCAACAACCCCGCACAGAGAGCACAGGGCAAGACCAGGGAGGCGGTGGGTGGGACAGAACGGGGTGGGGGGGGTAGGGAGATAAAGGGTGGAAGTACCGGCCTAAACACTCCACTGAATCACAGACACCCGCACGATGTGACGCGAGTGGCATCCTTTTCCCGAGACTAAGGCTCCCTGAGTCTGGGGACCCAATTCCCTCTCCACCTGGGAAGGCCCCCGCCTGGGCTGAGGGCCCGCAGAGCGAGCTGGAAGGGCCTACACTGCACAGGCTGATGAATCTCTCTCTTTACAAAAAGCAAGAGCCTCTGGCCTTCTAATTGCCACAGTGATTCGGCAACAACGCATGGCTTACAAGGGCTCCTTAAGGCCTGCGAAGACCTCCTTTTCAATCAGCATCTCCACATCCCTCCCTCCGCGGAACCCGTGGAACTCGATCCTGAGTGCAGCGCTCCTTGGGGGGTAAAGAATGGGGACAATGAACCAAACAGAACGCTTCTTCCTTCAGAGATGATTCTGATCTTGCTGAGACATTTTATAAACTTGGCGAAGGAGACCACCATTCCTGTCTTTTTTTTTTTAAATTTTGAATAAAGGGGGCATACACTATTAGAATCTCAGAGCCACTATTGAACGTTAGACTTTCTAGGGAGAATTTGCTAGCCGGGGTCATAATTCTAATCTCTCTCACACTTGAAGGCAGGAGTACTGCCTTGGGTATAATTGTAGCCAACACATACTGGACTTCAAACTTTGGGCATTTTATTTCACTCCTTTTCTCATCCGATATAATAAAACCCTAATATGCAAATCAACTGAACAGTGGAATGACTAGTCACTATGATGCGCACTGACCACCAGGGGGCAGATGCTCAATGCAGGAGCTGCCCCCTGGTGGTCAGTGCGCTCCCACAGGGGGAGACCCGCTCAGCCAGAAGCCGAGCTCATGGCTGGAGAGCGCTGGGGCAGGGGCGGGAGCCTCTTCCACCTCCACAGCAGCGCTGAGGGCCCCGCCAGCAGGCGGACATCCCCTGAGGGGTCCGGGACTGCGAGAGGGCACAGGCCGGGCTGAGGGACCCCCTCCCTCCAGTGCACGAATGTCGTGCACCGGGCTTCTAGTGAGGTTATAATTAAAGATTTCCTATGTATGTTTCACATAAGCCCTTTATTTTCACATATGACAAAATTCCTGTGAGGATGTCTGTTTGGGATACTCCAACGTTCATAAATGAGATCGCTTCCCAGAATCCATCTTATTAGTTACAAAACAAATACATAGCACGGAATATTTCATATCATCTATAGGATTAAATCTCAAATACTGAGCACAGAATTCAAATTCTTTCACAACCTAATCCCAATCCAATGGTCTTGCGCTCTTGCCTCTGTCCTAGCCACAGTGAATTTATTACATTTCCCTTAAACCTGATACGTACATGCCCACATTTCCTGCTTTTTCAAATGCTAAATACTGTTCCTCTGTTGCAACATTAACCACACTGAATTATGGTTATTCTTTGAACATATATGTTCTTGCTCATAGATTATGAACTACAAAAAGGCAGGTGTGTATGGTACACGGTAGATGTTCAATAAAGGACAACTACAAAAGTAGTAACTACTTATATGGTATTTACCATATTGAGTGTATAGGGAAATTAATAATTCCACATCAACAAAATATTTCCTGAGTAATTACTATGTTAGAAATTTTCACCTACAAGTGTTATTCAGTGTATACCGTGACCTTGTAAGACAAATACTATCTTTCATAAATAAAACTAAAGAGATAAGCCCGACCTGCATGGCTCAGTGGTTGTGCATGGACCTATGAACCAGGAGGTCATGTTTTGATTCCTGGTCAGGGCACATGCCCTGGTTGCAGGCTCGATCTCTAGTGGGGGCGTGCAGGAGGCAGCCAGCCAATCAATGATTTTCTCTCATCACTGATGTTTCTATCTCTCTCTCCAGCTCTCTTCCTCTCTGAAATCAATAAAAAATATATTTTTTAAAAAGTAAAGAGATTAGTTTTTCCTACATTCACTCTAAGAGGTCAAACTAAAAATTCCACCTAGATATCAAATCCCAATAAATCTGATGATGTAGGTTAATGCCATGACCTTTACCCCAGGAACAGCCTCAGTAATAATTCTTTTGAAATCCTACAGCTATATAAATGTATTATTTCCCTCCTAATCGATCGTTTAAAAGCTAATTGACATACTGAGAAATGATCTTTATCTACGGAAAGCCACCTGGCTGTGGGCCGCACACGGGGGTTTGGTAGCGTTTTAGAACGTGCGTGTGAAGCCTGTGGACAGGATTCTCCGGGTCCTTAGGGGGGACTTCCTCCAGGCTCTGCCCGTTGTTAAAGGATAAGACACAACAAAAGGTGCTATTAGTTAATCATTCCATCAACCCACCACTCGCTTCCTGGGCGAAACCTGGGCTTAGCCTTACATCGATTTAAAAAACGAAACAGCGCACTTAAGAGATCAAAGCTCCTTCTGTCCTACTCATGCCCGCTTCCTACGCTCTGCTTGTTTGTGATGGGGGTGGTTTTTGTCTGCAGCTCTACCAGCCTCTCTGATTTGCTCCACGTCTTAAACAAATGAACTGAATGTTAGGAGAACGGAGCAGTCCACTCCATGCCTTCGCTGCCTCTCCGTGTGCCAGACGCTAAAACAAAGATTTTTCACAATTAGAAGCGCGCTGCGATGGCGGGTGACAGTGCCCACCTACAAGCAGTGAGCACACTGACGCTCGAGTCCATCGAGTCGATGAATACCTACGTCAAACAATCACTCATTTCAACAGGCGCTAATCTTTAAGATGATGAGCAACAGTATGCGTTTTCACACGCATCATATCACGGCGTGGAGGGGGCTATCTAATGAAATGCGCCACATTTCCGCAACCTACAGAAACCACATTTTCAATTCTTTCACCCAATCTATTCAGGCACGCTTTATGCTCTCGTCGCAGGTCCCATCAGAGATGTGGATCAAGGGGTGCTGTGAGGTTGCGGTTGCAGACAGACGTCTGAATTTACCTTGTTTGCGATGCTGGTGATGAAGGATTTGATGTCGAGATTCGTGGGGCAGCTCTTCTGACACGGGGCGTCTGCACACTTCAGGCATCTGGGAAGTCAAACAGCTGGTTAGAGAAGTTACCAAGTAGCTGAGATGACGTTCTATGTATCCTCTACCCTACACCCCGCCAGAGTGAGTGAACAGCGAGGACAAATAAAACTGCACCACTTTCAGGTACATAATCTTTCCCTTTGTTCGCACCTGCAGAGATGTACAGAGTAGCAGGTGACAACCACCCCTGCTCGCCTTGTTCCTCCTTAGAGTTTTGGGGGTTCAGACTTATTTAAGATCCGTCATTCAGCCCTAGCCTGTTTGGCTCAGTGATTGGAGCGTCGGTCCTTCAACTGAAGGGTCACGGGTTCGATTCTGGTCAAGGGCACAAACCTGATCCCCAGCCTGGTTGGGACGGATGCGGGAGGCAACCAATAAATGTGTCTCTCACATGGATGTTTCTCTCTCTCTCCCCCCCTTGCCCCTTCCACTCTCTCTAAAAATCAATGGAAAGATATCCTCAGGTGAGGATTAACAACAACATAAAGAGCCATCACTCACTCACTGACCAAATCAGTCTTGTTTTGCTCCCTTACGACGCGAGTAACCCTGGAGAGTGCAATCTTTTACGATAAAAGCTCTGTCTGCCTGCACACCACAATCACCACACCAAGCCAAGAGGTACCGTGCCTCATTCTACCCCTTGGAGCTCCTCCCTTAACCCCTCACCCCCCTTCTTTGGCTTTGGCCATCCCTCCTTCTCCAATTTCCTCATGTCTTTCACCCACACGCTACTCGCATGGCAACTGGGCTCTGTGGCAGCTGCGTGGGTGCACAGCCCACACCCCCTCCTGTCACTGACGCTTCTATCCCTCGAGGGCTGTGCCCTTGGCTGAAGAGAACAGGCTCAGCCAAGATCAAGGCCCCTGTCCGTGGCAGGCCGTGTGCAGCTACAGGCCACGAGGGGCTCCGAGGCCAGGCCTGGCCCCGCTTGGGGACCAGGTCCGCAGGGACCCACTGCAGGCTGGGTGGGGGCTCTGTCCCTCCAATACCCACTCCTTCTCTCTTGTACAGAGGCTGCTTGTCCACCAAGCCTCCCACATACCCATCTCATCTCAGAACCTGTGCCTCTGAGCCACCTGGGAAGCTTGACCTATGCCCCAGGGCCCACAGAGGAGCCCTCGCCAGGCTGACGGTGGGCCTTGGAACCTGAATTTTGGAGGGGAAAAACCTTTTGAGATGATTCTAATGTCGATGGCTGGACCCACTTAGTGAGAATCACAATTAATAATGACTCCTTCCAGACTGAAACTGGGAAGAACGGTCTTTAATTCGCACATTAATGTCAGCTTGTTCATTTCCTCATTCTTTTCTTTAATAGTTAATGAGCCCGACCGGCGTGGCACAGTGGTTAAGCTTCGACCTATGAACCAGGGGGTCATGGTTCGATTCCTGGTCAGGACACATGCCCGGGTTGCGGGCTCGATCCCCAGTGTGGGGCGTGCAGGAGGCAGCTGATCCATGATTCTCTCTCATCATGGATGCTTCTATTTCTTTCCCCCTCTCCCTTCCTCTCTGAAATCAATAGAAATATATTTTCTAAAAAAGAATCAGTGGACATTAGGGAAGTGAAGGAGGGTGGATTTGGAGTTCAGGGTCACTCGAGACAAGAACCTGAGAATAGAACATGATGGGTACGCTAACCAGTGGAATTTGGTCTGGCAGAGTAAGAGGGGGAGTAGGAAAACAGTAGACCAGAGATCTAAAACGTAAGCTACCACCCTGTCGCATCTGTCAGGAGACCAGAATTCTCTGAGAATTTCACTGAGAATGAACCCTCCGCGGCTCCACTGACAAAGGTGTCCGCCAGCTCGTTTTCCACCCTCTTCCCTGTGCGAAGACCTTGGTTCCTTTCCCAGGAGAGGACACTGCCATCTCCTTGTCCTTCTGTTGTGTGTGGAAGAGTCTTCATTAGCCGAGCCGGTTTCTCAGTCCCTAATTAATATCTTGTTTCTACATCTGATCTCCTTTCTCTTGCCCGTGCCCTCAGCCTTCTCCCTAAATTAAATTCTACACAATGAGTACCGACGGCTTTTCATAATCAATTGTCCTCTCCGAGCGGCAGTCATTAAGCCTCTCTCCCGTCCTGTCTCTAAACGCATTGTTAAGATTCACATCTATCACGCGGCAGCATTCCTATCTTCTCATACTTGTGATTTTCACCCTAAAACAATGTCGCCGAGTTCAAGAAGAATTGCTTGAAAGCGTGATCAGCAGGGTACGGCGTACAACAATGCAGAAAGAGCCCAATCCAGGGCCTATTCGTCCGCGACGCCGAAATGAGGTGATACTTGTATGTGTTACCTTCGCGTGAATTCATGCGCTGAGCACTAACAGTGATTTGAAAGGATGTCCTAGGATGCGATAAAATAAAAGAGCTGGAAATGTAGCCAATCGTATGCCATCTTAAATACCTCCTAATTTATTTTTTTTTAAGTCACTTCAACAGCTTTTTAAATACCTGTCGTTGAGGAGAAATACAGCAACAGATAGAGGGAGTGGAGGTCTCCCTAATGAAGTCACATGTTTTCTGCCTCCCCTCCACCACCCCTCCCACCCAACTTGCATAATAAGGCAATTACAAAATAAAGTTCTAATGTCAGCAGGTATGAATGAGTCACATGAGTGTCCAGGGTGGGTCTGTCTAGGCTTCCAGAAAAATCTCACATTCGACCCAAACAGATTCACCCCAGCAGCCCTGACACGAGGTACGCATTTTTAGCTGTGGTTATTAAGTCTCTTTACCAAATAATTCTCCTTTTATTATGGAGCTAGTTCACAAATAACAGCTGTTGGAAATGTCAGATGTTAATGAGGCAGGGCGAAGCAGGCCTGGATTGCAGCATCCTTCTTTTTTTTTTCCTCCGGTGCCATGAATATGCCGGGAATCGGCTGACTCTGATAATAACACCGTCTTGCAATTCTCTAAGCGTGCGGCAGCCCTAAAGTGCACGGGGCTGCCATTAATCCCACTTATCACTCTGACGGCTCAGTAATTACACCTCCGCCGGAGCCAGGTAGTCCTAATAGAACAGCAGCCGCGGCACGGGCACGCACGCCGGCGAGATGTTTTATTAAACGTGGTGGGGGTTGATCATCCAGTGACATTCCTGTTGACCTATTTTTCTATTTGACAATAAATTATCCTTTGACCACGCCATAATAGGTATTACGGAGTGCATTTGCGGTACCCGATCGGAATGGTGCCGCATCACAACGATGGAGGGAAATGGTGTAAATAAAATAGCAGAAATGCATGTCAGACTGTTATTACCCAAATTGCTCCAAATGACTGATACGGTGAAAAATCGCAGGCACCGTACTTAGGGGAATATGTCAACAATTATTGCAAACCACAGTTCCACGTACATCTTTCCCTTCGAAGTAACGTTTAAATGACTCGTCTTTATCTTCCGTCGTTTAATTCCCCTTCTATGTCTCAACATTACTCTGTTATAAGGTAGTTTATTTTTAAATGTGTCGCAAAGGGGGAGAGTTAATTCAGATAAACCATGATGTAATATTTTAATCCCCAAATAATTACATTTGTACGAAGAGGAGCATATTAGATGATGTTTGAGAGCAATGAAACATCTTAGATTTTTTACTCGTGATAAACTTTTCTCATTTCCATTGTTAGTAGAGAGCATCGCAATGGATTTCATCAAAAGCAAAATATAGAGTCCTTAATAGTGTTAACTCTTCGTGATTCAATCTGACCATTAAAAAATTTGTATAAAACATTAGTACCGCTACTTACGGGACAACAATCATTGGTGATATATTGATCAAGGCTCTTTCTCTAGGGAAAGAGGGCCAAGATTCCTGTTCCCAAATGCCAGCGGGGCTGTGCAGTTTTATTCCACAGCATGACACCCAAAACATGAGCGCGAGGAAGAACGGCCAGCACTCCATCCCTCACACATCCAGGAGCCGGTGTCTGGGTCTGCTATTGTGATGCATCTGCAACAGCTGGAATTGCAACCTACGCTTGCTAAGGAGTTTTCTAACCCATGTGTTTAAATAAGAATTTTTCAGTTAAAAAAAAATCACAAAATCTATTTGAAAACCTTAAAACTTCACACTGTATTTTCTTTGTTTTTGTTTTGCTAGACTTTGGTTCAATCAAGTCAGTCCTGCTCATCACGCTAGGTATCTGTATATATAAAAGCCTAATATGCAAATTGTCCCTGCGGGAGTTCCACCAGGAGACTAATTGCTTGCTATGACATGCGCTGACCACCAGGGGGCGGCGTGAAACGAAGGAAGGCCCCAGCCGGCAGCCAAAAGGCCCCGATCAGCCCTGATCGCCGGCCAGGCCTAGGGACCCTACCTGTGCATGAATTTCGTGCACCGGGCCTCTAGTAATCTATATTAGTCTGTATGTAAGCAAACTGGGCAAGTTAGTGCCTACATTGAAAAATTAAAATGTTTTCCTCATATTGATGCATTTTCTCAGATCGTTGTTCAGCTCCTTCATTTGGAATGTGTAAGTAAGCGAGAGGTAGCATTTGGGTGTAGGGTCTAACTTCCCCATCCTAAAACCACCACGTACGTAACTATGTAGTCCAATGTCTTCCCCCAACTCGGCAACATTTCTCTGGAACCCGAGCAGACGTGAGCATCTACAGGTTGAAGGGAAGGAGAGTGACTAGAGGCAGGGAGGTTACAAGTGTCACCCACGCGTCTGAGTTCCCCAGCTTGGTCCCCTGTAGCCAGATCCTGTCATAACAAAAGGGCCCAAGAATGATGGTTGGTCTCTTTAAAACACGACGGAACTAATGCAGTGTCCCAATACGTCCAACAGTCAAAGGCATTCTCAGTTTGAAAACAGCCCAAGTGCCCATCAGTAGACGAGCAGATAAAAAAAGCTGTGGGACATTTACACCGTGGAATACTATGCAGTTGTGAAAAAAGGGTCTCTTAACCTTTGGGACAGCATGGATGGACATGGAAACTATTATGCTAAGTGAAATAAGCTAAGCTGAGAAAGACAA